GCATCTGGATAAATAGTTTAGCTCAAAATTTAATACAACAACATTTAGTTTTTAAATGCACTGACTTATTTTCTATCTTTCATTCCAAACTCTCAGTGATTGACAATGACAACCTAAAATTGAGCACAGTACTACTAAGCCACGAAATTAGAATTCCATTATCTATTAGTTGACTGGAAATCAGTTTGTGATTTAAATGAGTCCTCAGTCCTATGTCATCTATGCAAACAGCTAAATAACTGTAAGCGAAAATTTATGCATTTCATTTTCATCAAGTCTTCGTTAGTTGGCCAGCTTAGCTTAGTCCCCAAATGCCCTGATACAGCCGAGAGTGGGGAGAGTCCGCTCTCCCTCTCGAAATGCTCTCACATGGCCACGCGTATATAACCTCTGCCAGGGAAGTCCTACTGACTGCTTTCTCGTGGCGGGGGTGTTGTTCACGAAATTGAGAGGATGAAAAGCGAATGCCCGGCGCTTTAACTGGGTTGGTGGGTTTGGAGTGTCCACCTAGGTGAGTTGAAAAACCCCCATTCCAAACCAACGGTGAACATGGGCTCCAGGATCCCGAGGGAACTAATGGTGTATGAATCAATCGTTGGTCACCGACTACCATGGGACTGTATCTCCTCACCATGCTCCACTGCCTTATGGATCAGATCTTTAGGTCAAAGGCTCCGGGTGTGGACTCCTCAGAAAAATATCTGCTTCAGTTTGAGCACGTGGGCAGTATCACAGTCCTCACACAAATCGAATGAGATTTTTGTGGCGCATATTTATCTGGTGCTTCTTCGTACCAATATTTATGTGTTAAACTAAATAAATAAATAAAATAGCTTATATCAGTTTATGATAAAGTTTAACTTTGAAATTATACTAAATCATCACAATTTACTTGGGTTTATAATACAACTGTTAACACTTTTATTAGAGATAGCTGTTGCATGTATGTACCTTGACCTATGATGGACATTTTGATTACTGGATTTTTGAAACTACAACAATATACACCTTTACTAATCGAATAAAGTGTAAGATTTCATAACATTTGATATATTAGAGAGATTATGATATCATCTTTATATCGAAAATGGAAAGTAAACCAGTAACTCAAAAACAGGACAAAGCTGAGCCATTCCTCTGCACTCCAGCCCAGGTAAACAAAAGAAGAATGGTAGAGTCATCTGGAAAAATATATAATCCTACAAGCAGCTTGAAAGAAAGAATAACAAGTATTCAACTCATGGATAATTTATACAAAACGAAGTGTCCCTGAAAAGCATCACATAATAACATACTAAAAGAGAAAACAGACCAACGGCGTTTAAGATCCTTCCAAACGGAAAAGATAAACTGAAGGTGATAATGAGCGTTTTTTAAGCGAAAATGAGAAATTCAATTCTTCATAGTTCAGCTACAAAAATAAGAAGTTTACCGAGTGATTTCCGGGGATCTAGCATCACCAAAGATTATTTGTTAGATCAAAAAATTAGCACCTGTCTTTGGTAATCATATTCATAGATATAATAGACAATATCAGTTCCCTCAAAATTTCACACATACTCTTCTGAGAATTCCCATCCAGATATGAAAACGAATCTATGTTTTTTTTTGTAGATTGCCTCCAATTATTTAACACTAGAGAAAATAAGAAGCGTTCATGATATCTTTGAAATTGTCATTCCTGGTGTTCACCGATCAGATAAGCTGAAACATATTAACATCACTAATTCATAAGTTAGGGCAGTACGAAGAAATCCCAAAAGTGTTATTTTACTCTTATCCAAACGATAGTTAAATCATTTCCGACTAAATCATCAGTAAGTTGGAACTCAAATATTGTTAACAGTGATCCATATAGATCAATTATTGTCATATCAATCATCTTAATTATTTTAATCACACTATAAAATCATAGGAGGTTCAAGCTACTAAATGAATTCGAACATGAGGATTTTCAATATTTTAAATGAATTCACTAAACATTTTTTCAATAGTCATTATGGATGACTTTCAAGTTGTAATGCGTAACACACAAATATCAGTCTAAGCCAATAATAAATAGTAACTAAAAATTTATAGCCATATTAAATAATTAGATGATTGAGTGCATAAAGAAGTCATAACTACGTATATTGACTTGATCTTGTATACATATAAAGGCCCATTTTAATAATTAATTTTCTATTTTGATGCAATTACATAAATAAATCAATCAGCATTAAATATCTTAATATTGAATCGAATATCACAAAGCACTTCTTAGCATTAAACGATTGATTGGACAATTTTAATATACATATGACTATAAGAAGAGAAGTTTTGTGGAGATTTTAGTAATTTTATATAGTTGAAATCATGAACCAATTGAAACTAGACCACCATGGAAAACCTGGAAGAACTAGACGGCCGTTTCGTCTCATTGTGGGACTCCTCAGTGGCAGTGCGCATCCACGATCCTGCCTCGCAAGATTCAAATTCAGGATCTATCAGTCTCACGCGCGAGCACCTCATAAAGTCAGTCACTAGTGAGCACATGATCATTATCAGAAGGGGGTTTTGTGGAGAATTTTTCCTGGAGTTCTATTGAGAAGCAATAACCAGTGCAGTTCAACCATGTCTGTTGGGAGATATCAACTCACTCAAGACATCGGTGAATGATTGCTAAATTTCACGGATTGGTTGAAGTTAGACATTAACACCGTTGAACACCAGCTGGCTCAGTGGTTTATCGGTTAAGTGCTCGCGCGCGAGACTCATAGAACCTGGGTTTGAATTTTGCTAGGTGGGATCGTGGATGCACACTGCCACTGAGGAGTCCCACAATAGGACGAACCGGCCTTCCAGTGCTTCCAGGTTTTCCATGGTAGTCTAGATTCAATTGACTCATGATCTCAACTATACGTATGACTTCTGAATTAAATGAATTCAGTTTATTATCCTGATAAAGAACAGAACTCTATAAGGGCTCCAAACCGTATTCTATACGTCACTAAATACCACTAAATATGATTCCTGTGCTTAAAACTACTTGTTAGTTTTTATCAGTCTCATCATTTTCATTTTACTCAATAGTTCGGAAATTAATCATAAATTACGTGAACGGGGAAAGCCTTTGACTAAGTTCTTATTATGGATCAGCATGAGTAATGGTTTTATCAAGCAATTAAATATTGCAGAAGTTTTGATTGAAGTACGTTTTATCAGTAATAAATTAACATGGAAAGCATTAGTGATAGAGTAGATTCTTTGGGTGATATTCAGTTCTCTGATATAGGTTATATGGTTGCACGGATTATGTTGTGTAGATGACAGCAGCCTGTAATCAAGCAGTCTAGCTCAGAAGAAGTAACATCTTTAAAAAGTGAACGTTAGAAAACTTTAATTCAAAGTTAGAACTTTCAAAAAGACTTGATCATCGAACTCTTAGACAATATATACTGAATCCTCAAGTTAATTAACACATCACTATCACGTCATTAGATTTACAGCATTCCATATCTACTAATTTTTAATCGCTAATTCTCCCCTCTCCTTACTAAGAGAACAATAACGGCCTAATTCATGATCTAAAAAACATTTCCATGAAAGTGAGAAAGCGGAGTGAAATAACGATGTATAAATCAGGTCTGACATGGTGTTTATTCCCAATCCTACTGACATCAGTTATAAAATCAACTTTAAATTAATCAAGTGTCAATTAACATTTTCTATCATTCAGACTACTGTATTCGGTTTAGAAGATTTTCAAATTGTTGTTTGTTGATGAGCCCTATTTATGTGTTTTGTAAGATAACAAGGATACATATCTAATTTTCAATGAACGATACTATAGGACTCGTCAGCTGGATATACCTGCATCTTAGAGTTTATGTTCACTCTGACACTGGAATCCAGTACCTTTCGTTTCAAACGCCATCGCGTCATCCGCTCAACTACTGAGTCCTGATAGCCAATTGCTTATGCAACGGGGTGAAGTTTAATTTCAATTAGTATTGTTTGTTTGAATCTTCCCATCGATGTGTTAGGACTGCAACTGGTTACAGAGTGAACATCAACTTTGAGATGTGGCAGGTACATCCATCTGACGAGTCCGAAATAGGATGAAACGTGCATCAAACTGAATTCCACTGCTAACCACTATGCATCTTTGCTTACCATGCTTGTTAATTAAGTGCTATATCGAGGCAATACGCCACAGTATGTACATATACCAATTAGAGACTGACCAGTTACAGTCCTAAAAACATCAATGGTAAGATTTAAGTATACAATACTAAGTGAATTTGATACTGTAGTTATTTTCATCATTATAAGTCAATGAACTATCGAAATTATACCTTTGAATGACCCTCATATCTGCATAATATAGACAGAATAACAGTGACAATACAAATATCATGTATATTATTATAAATTTAATAAGAAATGGGCATTTGTTGTTTCCATACAATTTACAAATATTTCTACCTAATTTTTATGAAAAGAAAAAAAAAGATAGAAGAGATAAAGAGTAAGTGAGATACAAAATCCAAATCATATACACATTGTTTAGTAATATTAACCATAAATGGTTAAAAATCTTCTTTAAGTGAATAGTCAAATTGTAGGGAAAATAGTTTTGTGTGTGTGTGTGTGTGTGTGTGCAAATATATATAAGAATACAAATGAAAAAGCAAACAAACAGGAAAATACCAATCAAAATTAGACAAAATGTACAAAAAAAAAGTATTGCAACCGGAAAAGAGCACCTGGATACTGGAAATCACTGTGTTTATCACCTTATTAATGTAGCAATTTTTTTATGAAAAAAAAAAGAGGCAATAAACCAGAAAACTAATAAATAGGTTAAATGTTGTTGTTATTCTTGTCTCCATACTGAAATGGTTTGTGTAGATGGTGAATTGACACAATAAGTGATAGTGTAGCACAATAAAATGATTGTTTAATATTGTTCATAATAATAATAATACACAATCATTTTAATACTTTATCTTCTATTTTCAACTAGATGGTACAATACGGAAAAGTTTTTGTAATCCAATTGTGATATTTACTAGAAAAAATAAACAAAAAGATTGAATTAAGAAGACAGAAGAAAAAAAAGAATATATAAACAAAATCTACAATTGGATAATGGCTAGCAGTGGAATCCAGTTTAACGTGCGTTTCGTCCTATTTGAGACTCGTCAGATGGATGTACCTGTCACATCTCAGAGTTGATGTTCACTCTGGGATTATTCATCTTTGCTTATAATGCTTGTGAATTAACGATATATCGAGGCAATACGCACAGTATACATATATGCCAATTAGAGACTGACCAGTTGCAGTCCTAACACATCTATGGGAAGATTCAAACAAGCAATACTAAATGAATTTAAAATCTACAATTAATTCGTTGATGTTGATTTCAGCTGTTCGTAAAGAAGTTTGTGCACTAGCCAGAACTTACCCGGCATCCAAGCTATTAACTCTGTGTAAAACAGCATGTTCAGTAACTTAATCAAATGTTGACAAGCATCCCTTTCATGTTACCGTCAACTGTATTTATAAATTTACGTGTACCTGCCAAAGCAGCTACATTGGCCAGACAAGAGGGAGTATCTTGGATTTTCTTTTTAGCATGTTCCAGAAAGCCTCAGAACAAGAGAGTGACTCTAAACAGTGCAATTACTAAACATCTCTAGGACATTAGGTCGATACCCTGCAATTATTCAAGGTGATTAGTAAGCAGCCAAACTCCATTATTCTAAAGTTTGCTGAAACTGTTGCTATCAGGCGTCAAAATCCTGATTTATGTTTTCAAAAGGAGGTGGTTATTAATCTTTCCCTGTCTTGGTGACAAATATCCCTTCGTTGCATCTTAAACTCTTTTAAAACTCTCTCTTGCATTTATTACGTCATTCAGTTTTTATTTCAACTATCTTTCAGATTAGTAATTTTATTTTATTAACTGAGATTTAGTTATTTTATTCCTATCAGTGTTTACTCATTATGTAATCACTTCTTTCTGGCCGTTTGAACTGTTGTCACAATCAATGTTGTAGAACCTTGTCTTACATAAGGTATATTCAGTCAATTCAATTTATTTACACCATTGCTATACTGTAACTCCGCCTGTAGCTCCTCCGGGGGCTACTGCTAGTCCCACGCCCTGGATAAAGGAGGAGGGCTAGGCATGGGGTTAGAGACCCCATCCCGTAGAAAACCAACTAGCTAAAAAACGCTAACTTGTTATACTGTACTAATGTGTCATCAATATAACTTTCAAAACAAATACTTTCATGTATGTACTTTAAATCCATTTTATAATTAAAAAGTTTTTAAATATCACAGACTGTAAGCAGCTGACAATAACCAAACGAAATAGAATAAATTCATGCTTTCATACTTTTACAATCTTTGTTGTTACTCTTTTCAAAGTGATAAAGGGAACTGTGAGTAAGAAATCGGTATTTACATTAAAAACTATATTCCTGTTTCTTGTTATAAACTATTCTTGACTGATTCGTTAATGGGATCAACATTTTTCTTCTTCTTACACTTTTTGTTCGTATTTGCTTAGCTAAATCATTTTAATATTTATGTAAATATTTAAACAATCTCTTAACCGATGGATGAAATAATAAGAAACTAGATCACCATGGAAAGCCTGGAAGTACTGAACGGTTATTTTGTCCTATTATGGGACTCCTCAGCAGTGAGCATCCATGTTACATTTATTTCAGTTTGGGAAACCAGGTAGTGTCTCTAGCCCTCAGATCAAATAAGTGTATAACCCGAAGTTAAGGAAATAAACCAGTAACTAATAAGTCAATTAAATCAAACATGTTTGAAAATATTTAAATTATGTGATATGGAATGTGACTTGACAAAAAATACTTACTCATTGATTCTTGAAATGATTTTGGTTTAGGACTCCATGCACAACCGAGTATATAAACCGGTATACCGGTTAAAATGATCAAAATACCATATACTATAAAAGGATAAGACAATCAAAAATTCAGTAGAGAGATGTGATCATTGTTATACTAGTATTGAGGATGTAAAATCCGTAGAACTTACTCGGTAAATTGCTTAATTTCGTAATTTTATTTTTGAAATTTGAATTTCTTTGTTTTCGCTCCAAAAGCACTCTTTTCATCTTCTGGTCAAAATTCCCACTTGTAAATATTATAAACGCTATTGGTTCATTGTATCTTTAAGTGTGCTATTTTGTAATGATGCCCAAGGACAATTTGTTGCTGTATATATACGTTTGATTTTTTCCCCTTATGATTGCTGTGCTTCTGGCTGCAACGAAATATATTTTCCCCGCTTTCAACTTGGACTTCTTACTCTGGTTAGCTGGGTCTGAATCGCGTCAGAATAGCTAGCTTATCGGTCTCTGGTCACAAGTCTTTGTTCCGTTTGCTAACTAGTGAATTCGAAAAGCTTCAGATATAAAAACTAGGAAATAGGCCATTCCGTAAATCAGTTTAATTTAACTAAAATGATGAAAAGATTACTTTATCTTTTGGTAGTACAGATTAATCAGTTCTCCATAAAACTTTAATTTCGATCATGATTTAAGTCATAAAGTGACATATGAATAAGTAACAATAAGAACCATACGAAAACTGAATTAGATTTTTTTCACTTGCCAACAAGCTCAACAATAAAGAGTTACAACAACCTACAACATGGAATACATGGGATGTTTTGGTCTTGTGAAGAAAATTCTGTTTTTATACCATTGAAATGCAAATTTTAGTTCAGATTTTCAACTTAGATTGTCATCGATAAGTTATGGTCTTGTCTCTCGCCATTTCGATTCAATAGCCCACAACTTACCAACTAACTCGAAACTAGTCACTTATGAGATTATGGCTGCTCAGTTTGTTATTTGAAATTTAATCTCCACATTGGCGGTTAAATGATGCAACGAACTATTATTCGTACATTTGGAAAGTAAACATGAATTTATAAAGCATATTTTATAACAAATGACCTACATGATTCTTGAGGTGATCCATAAAAGGAGAAAATTAACAGAGATGTAGTAACCACTAAGTAGATAATGGCAAATATTATAGGAGCCTATGATAAATATAAATAATGAAAAAAAAAATTTTATGATATAGTAGTAGTAGTAGTAGTAATAGCTGAAGATATGAAATTAAATAATAGTGGGGTATGTACTACTTATATTGACATAAGTAGTATATAACGCTAGTCAGGAATAGAATGTCTGGCATTTGAAAATCGAGATGGAAAGAACGGGGACAGAAAGCGATTGGTATGGAAATGCAGGAACAATGAGGTCTGAGACAATGAATGAACATTTTACAAATGAAGTATTCATTGTATGATTCTCAGATTCTACTTAGATATTCTTTAATATCATACTAAAACACATCTGATTGTCCCCACTCGTGTTCTCGTTTACTACATTAGTAGTAGAAAAGTTCTTCTCAATAGTTAAAAAGGACTATGATGCTTTGCTTCAACATTTTTACCAACTTCACAGTTTTAAAAAGTTTCTTTTTTAAATTTTATGTCACTTCATAAAACAAATGTCTTATTTCAACACTGTATAGAACAAATACTCCAACAGAAGACTAATGGTTGAATAGAAAAAGTAATTAGACAGCGCTAAAATTGACGCTAAAGCTAACATAATCATCCAACGCTGATATTGTACAATTTATTAAAGTTGTCTAAAAGAAAAGTTAACTACAACTAATCATGATTAATAACAATTCAATGAAATCATATCATCTTAAGAAATGACAATACAATCAGGACTCAGTGGCCGAGTGGATAACGCGATGGCGTTTCAAGCGAAAGGTATTGGGTTCGAGCCCCAGAGTGAACATCAACTCTGAGATGCAGGTACATCCAGCTGACGAGTCCCAAATAGGACGAAACGTGCGTCCTGGATTTCACTGCTAGCCACTATCCATCTTTGTTTACAATACTTCTGAATTAAGTCTATATCGAGGCGATACGCACAGTATGCACATACACCAATTAGAGACTGACCAGTTACAGTCCTAAACATCAATGGGAAGATTCAAACAAACAATAATAATTGAATAACACAATAATGTTTCAAAAATTTAAATTTACCTTAACTGGACGTCGAATATTACGACGAGTAAATCTGAAAATTACTACAATCAAAACACAAAGACCAACTGCTAACCATTGAACAAAACCCATATAATTCATAAGGGTGAAAATATCTCCAGCAAGTAGGTAAATTATTGATACAATACACTAAAAGAAATAATTAACAAAAATTAAAAATAAACAATAGATTTTCATAGTTGAAAGTGTGAGTAAATTGAAGCTACACCACCATGGAAAACCTGGAAGCACTGGACGACCGTTTCGTTTTATTGTGGGACTCCTTAACAGTACGCATCCATATGCTCACTAGTGACTAACTTCGATAGGTACACAAAGAAACCCCCTGATAATCTTGTAGAACTGGATAGACTTCAAATTAAATCGACAATAGCATTTCACGCCATTTTCAAAAATCATCAAATCGATTTCGAAAATATCAAAATACTACAAAAAGGCTTTTCCAATTACAAAGAAAGAAGAGTCTCTGAAGCCTTCCATATAATGCTTAATCGTACTGCTCTCAATAGAAAGGAAGGCCTTACTATACATCCTACTTGGACTATCTATCCTAGTCACCTAGTCGGATATTATTTACAATTCACATCATTAACTTACAAATTAAACTCTATCCTTTGTCATTATAAAGGTCACACATTTATCATCATTAACAGTGCATATATATACACATAAATTTACATACATATCGCTTATGAATCACCTTGACCGAAATCACATGGCATTGACTTGTTCAGACATGTTTCTTGATTGATCACACCTAATATTCGTGTTGTTCCGTCGTACTATTTAAACTTGGACTAATGTGAATTTGGTTATTTGTTCTCTGAAGAAGCGGTACACACTGAGTCACGAAACGTCAGAAAAATCTAATTTTTCTACTCATTAGGATAATACAAATATAGATTATTTATTTATTTATAAGATTTAAAGTTCTAAATGATTTCATCACTTTATTTCAATGCTTCTCATCAGCTGAAACGTCGGGAAATAGAAGCAGATATGAAAAAAATAAATAAAAACTGGGAGGAACTGAAAAGGATCGCCCTAGACAGAGTTGGATGGAGAATGCTGGTGAGCGGCCTATTCTCCTTCACGAGGAGTAACAGGCGTAAGTAAGTAAGTAAAGCCATATTTTTATTCGTAGTCTTCTTTCTAACTGTAGAATGAAAATCATTAGTTTTGTTGTGTTTCAATTACTACAAAGCCATTATTGTAAAAGTGACCCACAAGCTAATTAGGACTTCAAACTTATTATCATTAAATGTCATCGTAACTCCTTCTGGAGCACCTCTGGGGCTATTACCGGTCTTAAGCCTGGATAAAGGAGGAGGTTTGAGCATGCGGTTAGTGAACCCACCACGTAGAATACTAACTCGCTAACAAAATGTTAACCAGAAAAAAACAATTTAAACCATTCTACAACCAATTTAGACATATTGTTCAGAAACAGACATTAAAAGTTCAAGTTCAATACATACTCATTTAGAAAATATACTAACTAATTTTCAAGGATGCAAATACTTATTATTATTATATATATATATATATATTTATTTATTCGACGAAAGTAGTGTTATGCAAAGAACTCACAGTGAACAAAACAGCCGGAATAGGTGTTAATCGATCTGTGTGTAAATAACTGATAAACGCTGGCATTTGCTTAAGCTGACTAGCAACAACAAATATTCTTGATGTAGTTAATATAGTTCCATTGGCACCACCAAACGTTGAACAAGCAACAAATATCGGCATTATCCACCAAAACATTCCGTATATTCTACCAGCAAATGTCTGTTTTTGTAAGTAAACGAATAAAATTGTTTCAAAGTAAGTCCAATTTATTCAATAATGTTTTTCCATACTGATGGAATAATTTTGAAATAGATTAACATTATTCAAAACAAGATAATTTGGGATGTCTATTGAGGGAACTGGATAAAGATTGACCTTAACTAAATGATTTATTTCACTTAGTATTGTTTGTTTGAATCTTCCCATTGACGTTTTAGGACTGCAACTGGACAGTCTCTCATTGGTGATGGCGTTTGAAGTGAAAGGTACTGGGTTCGAGTCCCAGAGTGAACATCAACACTGAGATGCAGGTACATCCAACTGACGAGTCCCACATAGGACGAAGTGACGCGCGTCCTGGATTCCACTGCTAGCCACTATCCATCTTTGCTTAAATTATTTATTTACCTGACAAATAGTAATTATTGAATTTTAATTTGCTGATTTGAAAATTATTGTTTGTGAATTAAAGTTTAGCTTTTTCATGAAATATTTGTGAGAAATTTTAGGTTTGTTATATCTAGAGATTTGATTCTTACTATGCCGCGTACTACTAGATTACTTGAACGATAGAACCCGCAACGTCTCAAGAGAGAAAACAGAAGACTAGTAAGTAGGAACTTTTATTCCCCCAAAACAGTGTCAAAATATAGTACAGAAATCTCATGTATTTATAGTTATTGGCTGAATGTAAATCATCATCTCGGTCAACCAATAGGCACATACGGGGTCATTCTTATCCATCGAATGGGGAAGCTACACGTCGACATTCCAGAATATTCCCCTAGCAGTGATTGGATGGAATATGTCCGGCTCTTTCTGGGCTTCGTAAGGCTTCCTAGAGTTTACCAACGAGCCATCCTTACGAACTTAAATAAAATGGAGGTATCTACCACACAAAGAACAAACTACATGGAACCCATGTATTATATATATGTTTAATTTCATGATAGACCTACTGATGGAAATAACGTTCTCTTCGACTGAATTTTCAGGAATTGATCTCCAACCAAGAGGTCTACTTATTGACTTAGAATACACAGATGACATAGTCCTGTTTGGTGAAGAGGCTGAAGAGATACAGAGTCTTAGTGGTACTAATTAACAATGCCAAGATGTTTGAGTTGCGTTTCTCCCCTTCTAAATGCAAGTTGTTGCTTTAGGACTGACCTGTGTCAACACCCTAACTAAGGAGGAGTGAAGTGATTGAACGCGTCGACAAATTCACTTATCTTGGAAGTCTGGTCAGCCCTAATGGGTTGGTGTCTGACGAAATCTCAGCACGCATTCAGAAAGCTCGTCTGGCGTTTGTCAACTTACATCACCTATGGCGAAGTCGAGATATCCGTCTATCAATTAAGGGACGATTATAATACGCAGCAGTTCGTTTTGTTCTACTTTACGGCTTTGAAACGTTGTCATTAACGGTAAAAGATACTCGTAAGTTGCTAGTATTTGATCACAGATGTCTTAGAAATATTGCTTGTATCTGCTGGGATCACCGGGTAAGTTAACGTGAGGTTAGACTCAGGGTATTAAGGCACGGTAGTAAGTCATTTGATGAGGTCATGAATCTTTATCGACTGAGATGGTTGGAAGAAAGTTAGGGGCGGTCAAACCAAAACGTTGCATCAGTCCATAAAGTCACTAACTTCAAGTCTTAGCCATGTTGGTAGATGCAGACTGCTTGGTTGGGGTCCGCGTGACTACCGTAACTAATGTTTGGAGACTCTGTGTGACATGGCTCAGAATCGATCACAGTGGCGTAGGTGTATTTGTCTTCCCTTAAACCATGAAATTAAAATTAATTTGTACCTTTATTTCTACGAACTAATTCTTTCTTTATGTATCATATCCGTATATGTGATCTTTTTCACTACCTTTGAATTAACTGCTTTCATGAATTTGGTGTTTATCTTGTGCTAATGAGGTGTGTCAACTTGGACCGATGCATGTATGTGCCTGGTCCCACGTAGTAGCTGACTAACTGATATATATTGATTTGAGAATTATTTAATTCAGACACTTTTTTCGAGTACAATTTAATTTGAAATGGGTAACTACACATATTTATTTCATAATCTTTTGAAAATCGGATGCCAAGATACTGTGGTCTTGAATGGTGAAAAAACGTTAATAATATTGTCGGTTTACAGAAAAAAATGATTAAAAGCATCGATACACCAGTAAAAATAGTATTCCACTTACCACAGCGACAGCTCTTGTGGTCAAAATCTCTGCAACTGGTACAACTGTTACATAAGCTACATTAGCAGCTGTGTAAACTAGAGTCACTAATAAGCATGATACCACAATTGCTATGGGCAAATGTTTCCTGGGGTTTTTCATTTCTTCAATCATACAATTTAAGTAATTCCAGCCAGAATAAGCAAATAATCCACTGTAAAATGCATTAGCTATTTTACCAGGGTTCCAGTTCGAATCGACAAAGGGTTCTTTCAGCTCTTCATAACGACCTAAGTGAAGTTAAGCAATAAAATACAATGCAAGATACTTAAATGATTTTACTATGTCAATAAATATATCACAGCATGAACAATGATTACAATCACACGTACATAGAGACTGAATCATTGGCGGCATGTTTAAACATCTGGGCTACCTGTTCCTGTCATCTAGATACTTCAACAAGTTATCTAATTTCGTGCGTTTCTGAAAAGTTTCAGACCTTTCACTGTAAAGGTTACAGAAGGCCTAATTAGAGATATCGTGGTTGCTGGCAATATGCAGCGAGAAGAATGTACATTATCCAGATGTCGATTGACTGGGCTGCTAAGTTCTAACTGGCGATCACTCAATATTTATCGTCAGGAAGGACGAATAAGTAAGAAACGGAAACTTGTTGAAGTACTTTGTGCTGAGAATTCTATATTGTACCAAAAATATAATATTGAATAAATCTAAATAATAATAATAATAATAATAATAATAATAATAATAATAATAATAATCAGCTGCTTAGAACAGATAAATAATAGTGAATCACAACACATTTAATATAATTTAGGCAACAAATATGCAGACTAAACAAGTTAATTTTTTAAACAAATATCGAATCATATACAGGGGGGACTGATAATGATGTTTAACCAATAATAATAGTAAAATACAAAGATTTATGAATAAAAATATGAAAGACAGTTACATTTGACTGCGAAAGGTCGTAAGTACACAGTCAAATTAGGTCATCCAATAGCTAAGATTACTGTTAATTAATTGGCCTTGTGGTTGGCCAAGGGAGGAGCAGGGGTTGGAGATATTTTTTCTGTACTCATAGCTCTGGTTTCTTCATCCTAATGGCAACTGCCTCCGCCGTTTGAAGGACTTTAAGCCTGACAAGCTTAGGCAAAAAATTACTGACCTTATAAATAATTGAAAAGGATTGGTTTATACTGGCATTATGACCAGTTTGTACTAAATGGGTCAAAATCGAGCTTTCTTCACCAGACCTATGCTTAGCCACGCTGGCAGGTGTTCACAAGCACGAAAATATAAACTCCTAGAACTTTAACCAATAAAACTTGCTCCACAGGAGCAGTCGAACTGATAAATACAAAATGAGGTGACCATTCTAGGTACTTCATCTTTAAGCCTCGGTGTCACCATTGGAAACTCCGCCTGTAGCTCCTCTGGGGGTTACTGCCGGTCCCAAGCCCGGGTAAAGGAGGAGGGTTGGGCATGGGGTTAGCGACCCCATCAACTCGCTAAAAAAACGCTAACCAGAAAAAATCATTCAAACCTTTCAAACTCTGCCCTGAGAGTAGAAGGAATAATTATGACGTCTCATGATGAAAGCCGAGTTCCTTCGAAAGTCATGAGGCCGATGCACCTTCTTACAACCAGAGCAACAATTTTTATAGGTACATGGAATGGAGGATGTGAGAACCAGAAGAGGAGCTGATATAGCATCCGATCATCATTTGCTGGTCGCCAGGATGAAACTAAAACTCAAGAAGCACTGGACAACGGCGCGGACAACATCACAAAAGTTTAATACGGCCTTTCTTCGAGATGCTGACAAACTCAACAAATTCAACATAGCCCTCAGCAACAGGTTCGAGGCCTTTCATGATCTACTTAATGGAGAAGGAACAACCATGGAGAACAACTGAAGAGGTATCAAGGAGGCAATCGTTTTATTATGTAAGGAGGTTCTGGTCCAAAAGAAGCACCATCACAAGGAATGGATCACTGTTGGTACACTGGATAAGATTGAAGCAAGGAGGAAGAAGAAGGCAGCAATCAATATCAGCCGAACCAGGGCGGAAAAAGCCAAGGCACAAGCCGAATACACAGAGGCAAACAAGCAAGTGAAGAGGAGCATCAGAACCGACAAACGTAAATATGTTGAAGATTTAGCAACGACAGCGGAAAAGGCTGCAAGAGAAGGAAACATGAGACAATTGTATGATACAACAAAGAAACTTGCTGGAAATTACCGTAAGCCAGAAAGACCAGTGAAAAGCAAGGAAGGCAAAGTAATCACCGACATTGAAGAACAACGAAACAGGTGGGTAGAACACTTCAAAGAACTCTTGAATCGACCAGCTCCACTGAACCCACCCAACATCGAAGCAGCACACACGGACCTCCCAATCAATATTGGTCCACCAACAATTGAAGAGATCAGCATGGCCATTAGACAAGTCAAGAGTGGCAAAGCAGCGGGACCAGACAACATCCCGGCAGAGGCACTGATTGCAAATGTAACAGCAACTGCCAAGATACTCCACATCCTCTTCAGTAAGATTTGGGACGAAGAACAAGTACCAACAGACTGGAAAAAAGGACTTCTGATCAAGATACCAAAGAAAGGCGATCTTAGCAAATGCGACAACTACAGGGGCATCACTATCCTCTCAATACCAGAAAAAGTCTTCAACCGAGTATTGTTAAACAGGATGAAGGATTCCGTGGACGCCCAACTTCGAGATCAACAAGCTGGATTTCGTAAGGATAGATCGTGCACAGATCAAATCGCAACTCTACGTATCATTGTGGAACAATCAATCGAATGGAATTCATCACTCTACATCAACTTCATCGACTACGAGAAGGCATTTGATAGTGTGGACAGGACGACACTATGGAAGCTTCTTCGACACCACGGCGTGCCTGAGAAGATAGTAAATATCATACGGAACTCCTATGATGGACTAAACTGCCAAATCGTCCACGGAGGACAACTCACCGACTCGTTTGAAGTAAAGACCGGTGTTAGGCAAGGTTGCTTACTCTCACCCTTTCTCTTTCTCCTGGTGATCGACTGGATCATGAAGACGTCAACGACTGGAGGAAATCACGGGATACAGTGGACAGGCAGGATGCAGCTTGATGATTTAGACTTCGCGGATGATCTGGCTCTTCTATCACAAACGCAACAACAAATGCAGAAGAAAACGACCAGTGTAGCAACAGCCTCAGCAGCAGTAGGTCTCAATATAAACAAAGAGAAAAGCAAGACTCTTCGATACAATACAATATGCACCAATCAAATTACACTTGACGGAGAAGCTTTGGAGGATGTGGAAACCTTTACATATCTGGGCAGCATCATTGATGAACACGGTGGATCAGATACAGATGTGAGGGCGCGGATCGGCAAAGCAAGAGCAGCATACCTACAACTGAAAAGCATCTGGAGCTCAAAACAATTGTCAACCAACACCAAGGTTAGAATTTTCAATACAAATGTCAAGACAGTTCTACTGTATGGGGCGGAGACGTGGAGAAATACGAAAGCCATTATCCAGAAGATACAAGTGTTCATCAACAGCTGTCTACGCAAAATACTTCGGATCCGATGGCCAGACACTATCAGCAATAAGTTACTGTGGGAGAGAACAAACCAGATTCCAGCAGAGGAAGAAATCAGGAAGAAGCGCTGGAAGTGGATTGGGCACACCTTGAGGAAATCACCTAATTGCGTCACAAGACAAGCCCTCACATGGAATCCTGAAGGTCAAAGGAGAAGAGGAAGACCAAAGAACACATTACTCTGAGAAATAGAGACAGACATGAGAAGAATGAACAAGAGCTGGATAGAACTAGAAAAGTAAGCCCAGGACAGAGTGGGTTGGAGAAAGCTGGTCGGCGGCCTATGCTCCATTGGGAGTAACAGGCGTAAGTAAGTAAGTAAATTGTCACCATTGGAAGCGTAGAAAACACTAAACGTAGTTCACCGGCGTTGAAGGATTTTTGGATTGATCTGCGTAATCTCTGAATACAGAAGAGTGTGTTATGAATGTTATTTAATTATTGTAAATCACATATATATTAGTGTAGAGCCATGATGAAAAACTAATTGAAAAGAAATTTCTTCGCTCGATTCGTTCCTTTTAAATTAACAAATGTCAAAATGGGAATTTTCACTTTACAGAAGAAATATCTGCAAACCCTTACTCCTCCCTTGGGCAACCACAAAGCCAATTAATCAACAGTAATCTTAGCTATTGGATGACCTAATTTGACTGTGTACTTACGACCTTTCGCAGTCAAATGTAACTGTCTTTCATATTTTTATTCATAAATCTTTGTATTTTACTATTATTATTGGTTAAACATTATTATTAGTCCCCCTATGTATGATTCATTCACTTCGCATTCACCCCTCCTTATTACGTCTTACTAATTTTTCACACAATTTAGTCTTCCATTCGATCGAATTGTAGTTGCACTAACATATCTCTCTCTCACCCTATCTGACCCATATTTATTCTGATCATAGATTTTCACTTAACATATATACAGATTCAAATGTCGAATCATTAATTTACCATTAGAAATGAAGTGAATTTTTTATTGGTGTTTTTTGGCAAAGTGTTCAACAGTATATTTGAACCAAATGAAAGACTCAGTAGACTCTCAAATTCAAGATCAACAAGCTGAATTCCGTAAAGATCCGTCGTACACCGACTAACTCACAACATTACAACTGTAAATCAATATCAAAATCGCAATCTTCAATACACACGTCAAAAAAGTTCCATTGTACGAAGCTAAAGCTTAGAGAACTAATATAACCATTACTAAAAAGGCACAAGTATTTATAAGCAGCTAGTTATGTAAAATACTCCAGATCTGTTGGACAGACTCCATCAGCAACAACCTACAGTGACAGGAAATACATTGCTGAAATTAACGAACTGCACCACGAGGCAAGCGCTAACTTGGAATTCTGAAGGGAAACGTAAAAGAGGAGGGATAAATAACACGTTGCTCATGGAATAGGAGACAGACAACAAAAGAATGAATAGCGATTGAAAACAGCTGGAAAGGAGAGCTCAGGTCAGAGCTGGTTGAATAATACCAGTCGGTGGCTGATGCTCCGCGAGGGATAACAGGCGTAAGTAGAACGAAGGATTATTTTGCTAATTTAGAATTTACTGAAGAGCCGCTCCATTCAGATCGAAATCTTGTAAAAAAATAAAAGTGGTCTGACATGTTATCAGAAAAGTTATATAATCAGAACGCGATGACAAATATTACAAGTTTTTAAAGCTACCAAATTGCTTATAAACAAAGATGGACAGTGGGTAGCAGTGGAATCCAGTTTGACGCGCGTTTCATCCTATTTGGAAATCGTCTCGGAGTTGATGTTCATTCTGGGACTCGAACCGAGTACCTTTCGTTTCAAACGGCAAATTGGGTTCTATCACATGCAGTCGTACAGTTTTATTCTTAGAAAACTTTTATACAAAACTTACTATTCTGTAAATAAAATGTCAATCTTATTTTATACTAACTTAATACATTTTTTGTAATTTGGTCTATATTAAACACTCACTTCATCTGAAATTAGAAACTTCTGAATGGTGTACACGAATAAAATCTTTATTTCAACATTAACCCGCCCCCCCCCCCCATAGTTCAACAAAAATCACACAATAAAACCGATTTTAAATAATGTAGATAATAAAAATTTAATTACCGAATCCAATTTGTACAAATCCAGTTACTATAATCATTATAAGAGCAGCAAGTTTAGCAAGTGTGAATATATCTTGTATTCTTGTTGAAAATTTAATTGAAAAGGAATTGACGAAGCTTAAAAATGCTAAACAGGATGACAAAAAAATGGAATATAAATAATTGAAAAATTTTCACTAAGATATTATTTATTTATTTACTTGAACACATAAATATTGGTACAAAGAGGCACCAGATACATATGCGCCACACAAATCAAATGAGATTTGTGTGAGGGCTATGATACTGCCCGAGTGCCCAAACTGAAGCAGGTGGTTTTCTTAGGGAGCCACACCCGGAGCCTTTGACCTAAAGCATCGTAAGGAGATGCAGTCACATGGTAGCCGATGACCAACGATTGGTTTATATGCCCTTTTTTCCTTCAGGATACTGGAGCCCATGTGCATCATTGGTTTGGAATGGGGGTTTTCCAACTTCCGTGTCCACCAACCCGGCTAGCAGAGGCTATATACGCGTGGCCATGTGAGAGCATTTGGAGAGGGAGAGCGGACTCTCCCCACTCTCAGTCGTACCACGGCATTTGAGGGCAATGTGTAATCGTTTTACAATTTAAAACAGTTAGTCCCTTTGATAAATTTCGATAATGCGATGAGAAGACGAAGTTTATCAGAATTATGTGATGATATATTAGCGCAATACATTTCGAACAATCTGATCACACATATACTTGTTAAGAATATTTTTATATGAAAATTAAAAGGTCGACTAGACAGGTTAAGGTATGAAAATAAATAAAGTACACAATAACAATGTGATGACTACTCTGGATAATAAATAAGCTAATATATCACATAATTCTGATAAACTTCGTCTTCTCATTGCATTATTGTTTTACAATTTTCAAATGAAAAATCATCAAACTTCCTTTAAGTGAACTTCTTCCAATATCTTACTATCAAATTAATTTATCACATATCGACTCAACTGATACCAGTAATTAGATAATAGACGAACCATTTATTATGTAAACTATAACTATGATAAGCAAAGATGGATAGTGGCTAGCAGTGGAATCCAGGACGCACGTCACTTCGTCCTATTTCGGACTCGTCAGCGGGATGTACCTGCAATTGGCTATCAGGACTCAGTGGCCGATTGGATAGCGCGATGGAGTTTCAAGCGAAAGGTACTGAGTTCGAGCCCCAGAGTGAACATCAACTCTGAGATGCAGGTACATCCAGCTGACGAGTCCCAAATAGGACGAAACGTGAGTCCTGGATTCCACTGCTAGCCACTATCCATCTCTGTTAACCATGCTTGTGAATCAAGGTATATCGAAGCAATACGCACAGTATGCACATACGCCAATTAGAGACTGACCAGTTGCAGTCCTAAACATGAATGGGAAGATTCAAACAAACAATGCTAAATGAATATATCTATGATATATATTTTCTATTTCGAACAGTTTAATGAAGTTACACAGATTGGTAAACTTTCAGTAATATTGAAAACTATAAGCTGACTAATCAAAATATTCAAAGTATCGGAAAACAGAATGTTTGCTGATGTAATACATCTGGATTCATTTAGTTTTAATTATGATTAAATTATTGTCATATTACAAATCTGTCAAATGCATCATTTAGGATTGAAGGCATACAGTCACGAGAAATTAACACTTGTTCTTATTTTTCTTCTATTTACTCAGAACTCATAATTTAATTATCAGCTTTTCTACTTTCTGAATTGTCTTTCAGTCATTCGCTTTTTGACACTTTCCTATGCTTATCAGTAATCACTCAACACATCTTTTATTCAATTTTAGTGGTTTTAGTCCACCGATAATTTTATTCATCATTCTTCTGCCGTACATGTTTTGCGTTAAAATTCCTTACAGATCATATGCATTTGACGAGAATGTCGAAAACAATGTGAATTTATGGTACTTTTTTTCTCAAATGTCATTATACTCTATTCACATTTCAAGAAAAAATGAATTTTGATGGAATGATTCAGGTTATCCATTTTAAGGCACGAAGTGACTACTTACTAGTGCTTCATGTTTAGCAGTACTGTTATACTTCTACAAAGCAGTGTTTCTCATTTGTATTTTATAAAAAATGTAATTGACAGAGACCTTTGTCTACTATCTCCATCTTAATAACTGCTTTCATTTTTCGCTTATCAAAAATACAAACAGTGCATTTTATCCATAAGAGTGCATAAGAGTTAACATTGGTTGAGTATATATTTGAGCACATCTTAATGAATAAAATAGAAAACAACGCTATAGGTAAATATTTTCAAACATACTAATACATAAAACTGCTAAAATCCTGATCAACATAACAGGCAGCGGACAGTCTGGATACAAAGGTACAACGACATATTCCCCAAATGTTAAAGCCACAATAGCGATTGCCACAGGTCTTACGACCATTACTTCTACCCATAGACGCAAAAATCCAATAAATGGTCCAAATGCTTCATATACATAAATATAATCCCCTCCAGATCTCTCTATTATCGTGCCAAGTTCTGCATAACAGTACGCTCCGAGCATACTGAAGATCCCGCATGCAACCCATATAATTAGACTAGCTCCTATACTTCCGACATTCATTAAAATACCAGTAGGACTGACAAATATTCCTGAGCCAATCATTGATCCTACTATGATGGTGATACTGGTTACAATACCGATAGATCGCTGCAGTTTTACATCATCTGGTTTATCTATGACAACGGCGACGTCATCATCTAATTTTTTGTTTTCTGCCATGTCACTACAAAATAAAATACATAATTTGCATTTCCAGCAATACAAAGTGGCCAAATGACTTTAAATAAAATAACGAAAGTTATAAAATATGTTTGACTTAAATCGTATGGCTTTCAGGGATTTAACATTCACAAAGCAAGATGAGATTAGCTTTAAAAATCACCAGAATCCATGAAAATGTGGGAGTGACTTATATCTTGGTTTCAAACAACCCAACCATACAAGTGAGATGGAATCGAAGAACAAAAAGACTTCATGACATCAGATGAGTAAAAAATATGCCAAATACGTATTTTAAAAGGTTAAGCCATTATATCTTTAGCCATAAACTTTGAAATTAACGCAGAATATGAATGAGACGCTTCATATGGTCTGTGATACAATCAGATTACGTTAATAGATTTCAATTTAAATAAATTGGTAGTTTTCCCAAAGATAACCGCTCTTTTAACTCAGTTACAATAACGTTTGCGTAATTATTTAATAAAAAGGTGAGGAAATACTGCTAAGTTTAGGCAAACTATAATTTTTGAAAACTAATATAGTTGTACCCATATGAATTGAATATATTTTTATTTCGACAGACATTCTGTTGGACACGTTTGGGCTCATGGCTGTCGAAAATACTTCTCGATAAAAAAACATGTCCTGTTGTTCTGAATTTTTATTGATAAATTGACCGAAGTCCCAAAAAACTCAGTTCATCAAATAATTTTAAACCATTCGGCACAACTAAGTGAAAGTAGTACCGATAATTTCAAACAGAGTTACAAGTTATCAGTTATAATTTAATTTTTAAGTGGTGATAACAAAAACTGTACATGCAAAACTTTCGTCCATTTTCAGAATATCTTTGTTTATTTGTAAGGGTATGAAACTTCTTTTGTTCGGTGTTGGGGACTGAGTTTTGATTATGCTCTTTCGGTATAGGTGTATACTAGATGGATCGGCACGATAATACCATTAAGTCACAAATTTTTATGTAAAGCTAGATAGTGGTAGGTAGTGAAATCTAGGATTTACATTTCACCCTGCCGAGGACCTCTTAGCAAAAAGGGTCAGAATCCTCTTCTAAACATCAACAATGGGAAGAGTCGGAACATTTCAAATAAATGATAAAATTCATCCCGTCGCACAAACTAGTGTCTATCCAAAATAAAAATTGCTAGGTATTTGGACTTAAAATTACTAGGTTAGAGTCTCCGTGTGAGCATCAATACTGAGATACAGAAACTTCCAGCAAACGAGCCCCAAATGGAACGAAACACATTTTCTAGATTACACTGCTAGCCACTATCTAAGCTTACCCAAACTCTTTCGAAAACGTTTTGAGATCCCTTCGTTTAACAGTAATAATTATCATGTGGGTAATTTTCTAGCAGCACTAACCACAAAATGGATAATAACTAGTTTCGAAGTTGGTTGGTTGTCATCATCTGCTCATCCCGTTTTTTAAAAGAACACCTTTAGTTTTAAGCATCTGGACATATAACAAATAAAACTTTTTTAATGCAACTCAAATAAATGTTTACAAGCCGGATATAAATTGACATCAATATATACAACAGTTCTGGTACTACTGATCATTTGTATAATGTATCTAGGCGTTTCATACTTTAAGTAGATTTATAATAAGGGAAGTTCGGAAAAAACATTAGAGAATAGATACTGGCTGCAACTCCCTTTGCGTACAATAACTTCAGTCATCTAGTTGGGCTGGTTTAAGTTGCCACACTACAGTATTCCAACAGAATAAATTTGTCTATTCAAATCGCAAGGTGATAGAAGTAGCCTCAATGTGAGTAACAACAAAAAGGATTAACTATAAACTATGTTTCAAAATAAACAATGAATTTGTGAGTCTAAAATGTTTAAAATGATTCTAAAAATAACTATCAAAGCGAAAACAAAGATTGAATTGTTATGTGACATTGCAGACCTTTTTGTGCCTTTATCCAGAGTTCCTAACCACTGATCACAGTAATTGCGCAGATCCCGAGCAGGAAGTCAAAATACACTAACAGGAATCAGTTCAACTGTCATTAGCTACAAGGACAATGACCTTAAATAGATAATTACCTATCATGGGTAAAAGATTTGCGTAAGCAAGTGCGTGCTTCTAAAATTACAGTTGGCACATTTATAATCAAGGATTTTCTGTCCACATCTTGTTTGTCTATTGAGTTTAAAATAATAAACAGGCTCGTGTTACAAATGATAGAAATGCAGATAGTTAATAGCAAACCAGTTTTCCGGTAAAAATGTGAAAATTTAACTAGAAAAAGGATGGTGAATTTGGTCACTGACTAAGCTATTGTATTTACTGATTTAACCAACCTGATAAACAAACTGTCTATCTCTATCGGAAACCATTCGAATAAAATAAAGGCACATTTGTAACCTATATTAATATATGCGTCTCATGCGCAAAGAAAACGCAAGCTTAATTAAAAGCCAATAAAACTTTTCATGTCATTAAGTAAGTATCCCTACAAATAACCGAGAAAAACACTCCATATAGTACCCGTAACTGCAAAAATGACAAATATTTCACACTTATAACTGTACTTGAGAACTAATAATTATAATGTCATGAATTTGAGAAATTTTATTTCATACCTGACTGAGCATGTTACACTTTAGGCTCTGACGGATAATGTGCAGTATTTGTGGGCATCAATAATCCACATAGTAAGTCACATTCGAAATCATTTAAGCACACCCTTAAGAGTTTTTTCTCGAATATGTTGGGAGTTAATAACATTACAAACTTCAGGAAAGAATTGTATATTTATTACGGATGCAAGAAGTTGATTTTAGCATTTCTTTAAATTTATGGTTCTAATGAGTCCACTGGTCTTGTGAAACACAGACGTTATTTAACACATTTTCTTTAAATATGCAAGCACAGTAACTCATTTTAACTTCAGTAATAGCTAAAACACCCAAGATTATCACAGCTGACTTTTAACTGCCAAGGACAATTCCCCAGGTTGTTCTAAGGGACACCTTGGCTGACTTACTGCAAGACATTTTCTATTTAAATCAAATTTACACTAAATATGCATTGAATACTAACTCAGGGAAAAACTGACATAGGTACTGACGATTTAGTAGGCTTCATTCGTCAGTGTAAATATTTTGTAGTTAGACAGTTCCTAATTACATATCAAGTAGACCATGAGTCACATATAAGGTAAAAACAACATGTGAACAGATTAACGTTGTTTTATCATTTCAGACGAAAGGGTACAATAATAGTGTAAACGCCAGCTTGAAATTTTGTTTAATTAAGCTTCAAAGAGACAGACCATGTTATTAGTCCTTATTGAAAAAATAAAATGTTGTGATTAAGGTGCGCCGATTTGTTATACCCAGATGACAGAATTTTTGTCGTTTGTCTTCTATAATCCTTCTCAAAACAAACGTTTACTGAGGCGACAGGAAATCTTGATAGATTCTGAGGATCTGAAGAGACGATAACGGATTTGATGTTTTATTATGTCTTACTTCTATTTGGGACTTACTGTCTGCAAGGATGCACTTGGAAGCTCGGAAACTTAAATAGGATCTCCTAAGTTTGTGGTATTACTTCTCACACCAAGTCGCAAGTTACTGTAGTTCTCTACCAGAACACGTAGTACCAGAGTCTGACTTTGGTACATCCAAATAGATCGGATTTTTACAGCACTGTAGATTCCGAGGATAAAAAACAGGTTTCTTGACCTCCAGTTTTTGTCTTTGAAGACTGAAGGTTATGATATTATTACTTAACACATATTTCAAGTTACCAAACCGGTGAAAAGTATAAAGAGAGGCAAGTCGCAAAAGACCAAAAACGCCCGTCTAGGCATGCTTTATAAACAAAGAAATTAAAAATCCCAGAGCCCACCGCTTAATGGTTCAAAAACCGATGCAGAACCAACTCAGTGCAGAATTTTACTTTTACATCAACCTGGTCAGTGAACACTTACAATGGGAAGTTGAATCACAACTAGAAGAAAAATGATCCCAAAACTAACACAGGTCAGTTAACCAGCCATCCTTATTACCTTAGACTAAAGACAATATTCTTTCAATCCAGTGGTGTTCACCCACTCCTACTAGACGTTTCAATACGCTGCGCAACGGATCTTCTCCTATTATTACTGAACTTTCATGTTGTATGCTAAGATACTGCTGCCAAAATTTCAAGTTGGTATTTATGTTTCGTTATTTTTTACTGTTGGTTTTATTGACTTTAACGTTATTTCGTTAAGTCTCTGCTGCAGATTGTGGAGTCTGAGGATCTGGTTGCTTTCCCATTCTATTGTTTTCAATAAAAACAATGTATACACCAATCAAGATTGACTAGCCGCTAAATGACCTGACATTTTGCAGCCTGGCGCAAGTGAGGAGGATAATCGTTTCAGAAATTATTGAAGGATGATCCGCCAAATATGAAGTTTTGAAACTTCCAGTAATGCTTTATATCGACAGATAAAAAGCCCTTCAGATCACTATTTTTCAATCATGGAGATTTTACACATTACCTGGTGATCAAGACCATTTCGAATTCTCAAATGAAAATGATGAATGCATATTGAAAACTCAATAAAACTTTGAATCAAGATGCTTACCTGTAACTAACAATCAAAACGAAGAGAAACTCTTATTGATATTAATCGAAACGTCAAATGCGCACGATATGTTATAAGCGCTTCGTAAAGACTTCTTCAAGAGCTTAAACAATTAGAAGCTTCAAACAACAAATTGAGTCACTTGTAAAAACCAAACTAAATGATCCTATAAATTTGATTGTGGAAATAAGCAAAAGGTCAAATAATCCAGGTGATAATACTGAAGATCCATAAACAACACTAAGCGTAAACTTCGTTCAAATGGTTCAAATGGTTGAGGACGGAATAGAAGAAGCTTTCGCTTAACGGGCTTCCGTGTCTGGTAGCAGTGGATCATCAATACCTCCAGGTAAGAACCTAGGTATATGAACGATAATAGAGGGGAAAAAAGAATTCGGTAAATATTAATAATATGTTATCCTTAGTCCTTAAGAATAAGTCAAGTTTCCTCTTAAAGGACTCCTGGGAGGTCGCTTGGACTAGCTCAGTCGGCAGCGAATTCCAGCACTTGACAACTCTAACGGAGTAGAAGTTGTGTCTGCAGTCTGTTCTGCTATGTAGTGTCTCCAATTTCTGGGTGTTACCTCTGAGGTTAGTGTTATGACTAAGCTTAAAAAGTTGTTTAAGGGGATGACCAGAAGTATTAAGGATACTATAAGTCATAAGAAGATCACCTCTAAGACGCCTATACTCTAACGGGTAAAGGTTAAGTGATTTGAGGCGCTCTTCATAAGGTTTGAATTTGAGTCCCCGGACTGATTTCATGGCTCGACATTGTATACGTTCCAGAGTGACCCTATCCTTTTGCAGGGAGGGAGGAAATACTATGTTTCCGTACTCTAAGTGGGGACGAATAAAACTGTTGAAGATTATATGGAAGGTTCTACCATCAAACTGGCCAAAAATGCGCTTCAATGTTACCAGTGCAAGGTTTGCTTGAGAGGCGTTTTTGACTCAGTTCGCATACGATTTCAGGTCGTAGGGTACCAACACTCCTAAATCTTTTTCAACTTGGGAAACTTCTAGAGGTGAGTTACCTAAGTTATAACTATAGTCTGCAACATGTCTCAGATGGACTACTTTGCACTTTGAAATGCTGAGGGTAAGTCCGTTGTCGTCTGCCCAACTTTGAAGTCGAGTCAGATCCTCCTGAAGAACTAGTATATCATTATGATTACGTATCTCTCTCCAAAGTTTCACATCATCAGCAAAAAGCAATAAGTCAGATGAAACTTGTTGAGGAAGATCGTTAATATAAATCAAGAAGAGAAGAGGTCCTAGTATTGAACCCTGGGGTACCCCACTAGAACATTCCATAGCCTGAGAGAGAGTGAAGTTAACCCTGACCTTAAAGTGTCGGTTTTCTAAATATGAAGAGAGCCAATCAATCAAAGGGGGTTTTATACCCAATCGTCCAAGCTTCTTGATAAGACATGCATGGTTGACCCTATCAAAAGCTTTTGAAAAGTCCAGGTAGATGACGTCAACCTTCCCCTTGCGACCAAGGATGGTTGTTCATCTATCCACCACAGTCAGCAGGTTGGTCATACAAGAATGAACTTTTCTGAAACCATGCTGTTGAGGAGAGAAGAACTTTGAGGATGATAAGTATTCTAGTATGCCGTCGAATACTAGGGATTCCATAATTTTTGAAGGTATGGAGAGAAGGGCCATTGATCGGTAGCTTGAGGGTTCACTGCGTCGACCTCCTTTGAAAATTGGTGTGATGTGGGCCAGCTTCCATATTTCCGGTAGTTTGCCTCTGCTTACTTACTTACTTACTTTCGCCTGTTACTCCCAATGGAGCATAGGCCGCCGACCAGCTTTCTCCAACCCACTCTGTCCTGGGCCTTCTTTTCTAGTTCTTTCCAGTTCTTGTTCATTCTTCTCATGTCTGTCTCTATTTCTCAGAGTAATGTGTTCTTTGGTCTTCCTCTTCTCCTTTGACCTTCAGGATTCCATGTGAGGGCTTGTCTTGTGACGCAATTAGGTGATTTCCTCAAAGTGTGCCCAATCCACTTCCAGCGCTTCTTCCTGATTTCTTCCTCCGCTGGAATCTGGTTTGTTCTCTCCCACAGTAACTTGTTGCTGATAGTGTCTGGCCATCGGATCCGAAGTATCTTGCGTAGACAGCTGTTAATAAACACTTGTATCTTCTGGATAATGGCTTTCGTAGTTCTCCACGTCTCTGCCCCATACAGAAGAACTGTCTTGACATTTGTATTGAAAATTCTAACCTTGGTGTTGGTTGACAATTGTTTTGAGCTCCAGATGCTTTTCAGCTGTAGGTATGCTGCTCTTGCTTTGCCGATCCGCGCCCTCACATCTGCATCTGATCCACCGTGTTCATCAATGATGCTGCCCAGATATGTAAAGATTTCCACATCCTCCAAAGCTTCTCCGTCAAGTGTAATTTGATTGGTGCATATTGTATTGTATCGAAGAGTCTTGCTTTTCCCTTTGTTTATATTGAGACCTACTGCTGCTGAGGCTGCTGCTACACTGGTCGTTTTCTCCTGCATTTGTTGTTGCGTTTGTGATAGAAGAGCCAGATCATCCACGAAGTCTAAATCGTCAAGCTGCATCCTGCCTGTCCACTGTATCCCGTTCATTCCTCCAGATGTTGACGTCTTCATAATCCAGTCGATCACCAGGAGAAAGAGAAAGGGTGAGAGTAGGCAACCTTGCCTAACACCGGTCTTTACCTCGAACGAGTCGGTGAGTTGTCCTCCGTGGACGATTTGGCAGTTTAGTCCATCATAGGAGTTCCGTATGATATTTACTATCTTCTCAGGCACACCGTAGTGTCGAAGAAGCTTCCACAGTGTCGTCCTGTCCACGCTATCAAATGCCTTCTCGTAGTCGATGAAGTTGATGTACAGTGATGAATTCCATTCGATTGATTGTTCCACAATGATACGTAGAGTTGCGATTTGATCTGTGCACGATCTATCCTTACGAAATCCAGCTTGTTGATCTCGAAGTTGAGCGTCCACGGAATCCTTCATCCTGTTTAACAATACTCGGTTGAAGACTTTTCCTGGTATTGAGAGGAGAGTGATGCCTCTGTAGTTGTCGCACTTGCTCAGATCGCCTTTCTTTGGTATCTTGATGAGAAGTCCTTCTTTCCAGTCTGTTGGTACATGTTCTTCGTCCCAAATCTTACCGAAGAGGATGTGGAGTATCTTGGCAGTTGCTGTTACATTTGCTTTCAGTGCCTCTGCCGGGATGTTGTCTGGTCCCGCTGCTTTGCCACTCTTGATTTGTCTAATGGCCATGCTGATCTCTTCAATTGTTGGTGGGCCAATATCGATTGGGAGGTCTGTGGGTGCTGCTTCGATGTTGGGTGGGTTCAGTGGAGCTGGTCGATTCAAGAGTTCTTTGAAGTGTTCTACCCACCTGTTTCGTTGTTCTTCAATATCGTTGATTACTTTGCCTTCCTTGTTTTTCACTGGTCTTTCTGGTTGACGGTAATTTCCAGCAAGTTTCTTTGTTGTATCATACAGTTGTCTCATGTTTCCCTCTCTTGCAGCCTTTTCCGCTGTCATCGCTAAATCTTCCACATATTTACGTCGGTCGGTCCTGATGCTCCTCTTCACTTGCTTGTTTGCCTCTGTGTATTCGGCTTGTGCCTTGGCTTTTTCTGCTCTTGTTCGGCTGATATTGATTGCTACCTTCTTGTTCCTCCTTGCTTCAATTTTATCCAGTGTACCAACAGTGATCCATTCCTTGTGATGGTGCTTCTTTTGGCCCAGAACCTCCTGACATGTTGAAACGATTGCCTCCTTGATACCTTTCCAGCTGCTCTCTATGGTGGTTCCCTCTTCATTGAGTAGGTTATGAAAGGCCTGGAACCTGTTGCTGAGGGCTATGTTAAATTCGTTGAGTTTGTCAGCATCTCGAAGAAAGGCCGTATTAAACTTTTGTGATGTTGTCCGCGCCGTTGTCCAGTGCTTCTTGAGTTTTAGTTTCATCTTGGCGACCAGCAAATGGTGATCGGATGCTATATCAGCTCCTCTTCTGGTTCTCACATCCTCCATCGTCCTCCTGAACTTTTTGTTGATGCAGACATGGTCGATTTGATTCTGTGTAGTGTGATCCGGTGAAATCCAAGTGGCTTTGTGTATGTTTTTGTGTGGGAATATGGTGCCACCTATGACCAGTTTATTGAAGGCACATAGGTTTGCAAATCTCTCACCGTTTTCGTTCCTTTCTCCCAGTCCATGTTGTCCCATGACGTCTTCGTATCCAGTGTTGTCCTTTCCAACCTTGGCATTGAAATCTCCCATTAGAATGGTCAGGTCCTTGGTTGGGCACTTCTCGAAGATTGACTGCAGCCTATCGTAGAATTGGTTTTTAGCGTCTTCATCGTAGTCGTTGGTAGGCGCATAGCATTGGATGATGTTCATTGTAATGCCCTCTCTCTTTGTTCTGAAGGAGGCTTTGATGATCCTTGGTTCATGAGATTCCCATCCTATAAGTGCATTTTGTGCTTTTCTAGACAGCATCAGTGCCACTCCTTGTGTATGTGGGGCATTTTCTTCTTCATGACCGGAGTATAACAGAAGTTCCCCTGAAGACAGTCGTTGTTGTCCAACCTGCGTCCAATGTGTTTCACTGATTCCAAGCACTTCCAGGTTGTATTTCCTCATTTCTGCAGAAATTTGGAAGACTCTGCCGGTCTCCCACATTGTCCGGACATTCCATGTACCTATAAAAATTGTCGCTCTGGTTGTAAGAAGGTGCATCGGCCTCATGACTTCCGAAGGAACTCGGCTTTCATCATGAGACGTCATTTTTCCTTCTACTCCCAGGGCAGAGTTTGAATGGTTTGAATGAATTTTTCTGGTTAGCGTTTTTTTAGCGAGTTGATTTTCTACGGGATGGGGTCGCTAACCCCATGCCCAACCCTCCTCCTTTACCCGGGCTTGGGACCGGCAGTAGCCCCTGGAGGAGCTACAGGCGAAGTTTTTGCCTCTGCTTAGGGTGTGTGCAAACATCACGCTAAGTGGTGTCGCCAGGATTGAAGCTACTTCCGTCAATACAGCGGAATGAACCATGTCCGGACCAGGAGAAGTGTCTTTTCTTAGGCTCTGCAGTTTACGGAGCACCAGGTCAGCACTGAGGTCCACTTCGGAAAGTCCTGTACAGGTGCAGGTGAAGCTTTTGTCAGTATGGTTGGTGTGGGTCAGCTGGAATGTCCGGGAGTAATGTTCAGCCAAAAGGTTAGCGGCATCACTGTCGTTGTTGGTCGGGCCATTAGGACCAAGCAGTTGGGAAACTCCAGTATTGCCTTGTCGAAGAGAAGCTGCATAACTGAACAAGCTTTTCGGATTGGAGACGAATCTATCGATAAGCTTGGTCTGGAACTGGTTATTACCTATAGGCAAAAAAATTAGACTTCGAGCACTCTTTCGGAAGATTCACCTGAGGACAGCATCTATATAGCTGCCTATAGAAATTTACATGATTAACGGATTCAAACCGCGAAGACGTTTCCTTGAAATTTCGTGGGACCACCTTTATGTTCTATCTTGAATTGATGTCGTTCTTTTGTGTGACTGATTAGCGAGACGTATGAGCTGCCTATTGCGTGAACTATGAACAACATAATATATCATCATCACATCTTTTCCAATTCTCCGATTATGACCTTTCAAGAGAGCTGAGTTGGATTTGTTTTCAGTCACGCTATAAAGGGTATTCACTCAACATAAATAGTTCCAAATGGTTCTAGATAGAATAGAATAACTCTTCGTTTAACGGGCTTTCTTACCTAGCAGCACTGGATCAACGTTGACTACTGGTTGGAACTCAGGTATATATAATGATGAAAATAGAAATGTTGGTAAACTACAGTGAGATACAGACCACAGTTCTTAAGAATATTTCACGATTTTCCCTTAAAGGACTCCTGGAAAGTCAATCGGATTCGCTCGGCCGGCAGCGTATTCTACTCTTAAGAAGTAGAACATATATCTACAGTTCGTTATTCTATGTTGTGCATCTCGTTTCTGAGTGTCACCTCTAACGTTTTTGTTGGGACTGAGCATCCGTGGGGGCTCAAGTTGTTGTCCAGGAGAGTTTACAATGCTGCAAGTCATTAGAAGGCCACCAGTGAGACGCCTATACCCTAATGAGTAGAGATCTAGTGATTTGACGTGCAATTCATAGTGTTTGAATTCGAATCCTTGAAATGATTTCGTGACTAGCCGTTGTTTACATCCCAGTGCAATCTTTTACTTCCAAGGTGAGAAAGGAAACACTGTTTAGATACTCTAAATGGAGTCGAGCAAAACTGTTTAAAACTAAGTGGAAAGTTCCACCATCGGACTGATGAAAAGTGAGTTTCAACGTAGTCAGTCCAAGGTTTGCCCGAAAGGTAAATTTATCGCAGTCAACGTAAGACTTTAAGACGTGGGGAACGAACAAAACTAGATAATATTCATCGCAGGATATCTATAGAAGGGAGCAGACATATTACGAGAAATTGGAGTTTCATGCAGTTAGTTCCTTTTATGAATTTAAATAAAGACAGAGCAAATATTGATGCAGAATAATATGAATTCATTATATTTAGTGGTTTCTCATCAGCTGCTTACAACCAAATATGCATTAGAGTTTTAGCATTGGGGTAATAAATAGGATGGAGCGACTGACATAAGTGAATGTAAAGGATTGGAATAACAAAAGTCATCGGTGATAACTATATATATATATATATATATATATATGGGCAAGGAAAGGTCAGAGGTTATTAGGTATTAGAATAAAGGGTGGCGTAATAGTTGAGTGGAGTTCAGAGACAGATAAAATCGAAAATGTGATTATTTTAGAGGCAGTTGAAAACAATTAGGGTTACGTAATAATTGAATAATTTTTAGAGGTAGTTGAAAACAATTGTTTGATAACACCCTAACCATTGACACCTTTTACTATGAATTGTACCCACCTAATAAAATCAAATTTCATAAGCGAGAAGGTTCGAAGATATATTTGGTGGGCTATCAATATATCGATAAGTGATAAATCTAAACGGACTAGCGGTTGTTGGAGAAGTGAAGCACGGCGTACTCACTCATGATCTGGTGCGGATGTATGACCGAGCACCTTCAGTTTGGTGAATCCATTGAGACTAGTGTGGACAGCATCAAATGTCGAAAACTTACAGTGCTATTGATTAGGGGGATTTATTTACCGCTGAAGATCGCTATCTCCTAAGACATGGCCAGCCAGAAGTTTAAACCCAGCGACTTTACATTTGGTAAACACTCTTCTGATAGTTTGTTATGTTCAGCAGCGTCTGGTCGTCTTTCCTTAGTATAAGAGGCATTTTTGTACAACATAGTAATGAAGGAACAGGTAAAATGAAAATTTCGACTCATCGTGAACTTCGTCGTCTTCTCGCTTTTCCAGCCGTCCTGGAAAAGAAAAAAGGATATGTAAGTGTGTGCCGAATTACATTCGTACGTGCTTGAAGACAAAAGACGGGCAAAAAATGAAAGTAAACTCATACACATTCATTTCGTAAACATTCAGTAGGGTAAAAACTATTTTTGCAGATTGGTTCTTCTGTTTCTTTTACAGAAAATAAAAATATACACACATGGGAAGGCATATTCGCAACAAAAGTATTTTGGGGGGGATAAACATATATATATGAGCATATTAAAAAGTTTGTTTTGTTTAATATTTTGACACAGTACAAAAGATGTGAGACGAAACAAAGTGTGATGTAGTGTCTTACATACAGAAGTCACCTAGGTGTTCTGGGATCCTTACTTTTCTCCCAGAACGCGTTGTTCTGAGTCTGTTGACAGATGACACCGAAGTGTCATCGTTATTGTTAGTTAGAGGATAAGGTTTCGTGGTTTTGAGGCTCGTGTCATTCGATTGTACCAAAGGGAAGTCGACACGAATAGGATTTCCTTCTAATTACACGGCTTGAGGCGATCGGTGCTGATGTTTTCGTAAATTCCGTTCTCATCGATTATATAGCACTTAGTTTCACGCTGAAGAACTTTGGAGAATTCTTCGAATGTTGTTTCGAGAGGTCGTCGAAGCAAGTTGCGACGTACAAAGACGTGCGTACTATATCTTAAGTCAGGTTGAACTAATATATCAGCTGACTGTGGTCAAGTGGAAACAGGTTTAACTGAACGCATTGCGTTTGTAAGCCTGCCCATGTAGGAGTTTAGATTCATATTCATTGAAGAAGATAAGGGATCCACGAATTCTCCTGTAAGTTGGAGGGTTGTTCCATAAACGAGTTGAGCTGCAGTGTATCCAATGCCAGCTTTCACTGCATTGTGAATATCAAGTAAGATGAATGGAAAAGCATCCTTCCACTATAAAACGTGTGCAGCCGTGCTGGTCTCGTTTCAAAACAACTCCGTAGACGAGCTGGCTGCATCTGCCGACCACATTTTAAACATCACCAAATCTTTTAACGTCAAGGTTTTTCAGTTAGAGAAAAACCTCAATCAACATAGAATGACATAACGGAACTATGTCATACGCTGACACGTTACCTTCGAATTCGTAATGACAGTAAATGGTTACAAAGCGCGCGAAGAAGTACTTCATGTAAGCGATCCGTTTCTAGACCACAAAAGACAGATAACCCCGACTGGTTCTGGTATCATAACCAGTGCGGAAAATCTTCTAGAAATTGCATGGAACCCCGCAAGTTTCCTCGTTTACACTGGCACAGAAGTTAGCCTTCTTCCAGCAAATTCTAACGACCAGCTCCATGAAGCAGTTTTAAACTTACACGCGGCAAACGGAAAGCCTATCGCTACATATGGTATGCGGTACGTCTACCTTAACGTGGGTTTACGTGAACCCATCTACCTGGATCCCGGTTGTTCCAGATGTTTCTGTGACACTCATTGGTACAGACGTGCTACAACATCGCAATCCACTCATCGATACGTGCAAACGGAGGTTAGTAGACGGAAATATTAGTTTATCTGTGTGCGTAACTTCTATTTTCGGTTGTAGATTATCCCCAGTCACAGTAGGGCACATGATAGATCCATACTACCGAAAAATACTCCATAAGTACCCTGAGGTGTCTCAAATGCACCGAAGTTGCCGTATGTAACCAGCAATGTTACAAATTACATCACGACTACAGGACCACCTGCATTCTTGAGTGTGCGCCGACTAGCTCTCGAAAGCCTGAGGTTGACTAAGAACGAATTCGACCACTGGTGCAAACGCTGAGGGCTAGAGCTGAACACAGAGAAATGTGATTGGCTATGTATTGGAAACACGTCACTTAAACTAAAACTAGTACTTAACAAAAACCCACTGCTTAGACTGACATCAGTAACTGACCTTGGGGTACATTACTCTGACAGTCTTAACTTCTCTGAACATATTTCAACTAAAGCATCTCAAATGCGGAGATTGCTTGGCTTCATCCTTAGTAATTTCTTTCAAAACGAAACTAAAATCATCCTGTATAAAGCCTGCGTAAGACCCATCGTCGAATGCTGCTCGTTCCTATTTTCCAACCTACGCCTATCTGATATACTTAAGGTGGAAAGAATACAGCGAAACTTCACTCCCAAAATACTTAAGAATGACCAACTCACTGACTACAAATCCAGATGCCATATCTTAGGACTAGAACCCCTCTGGAAAAGAAGACTTAGGTCTAACTTAATTCTTTATTTCAAACTCCTTAAAAACCTTACTTATCCCACATGTAATATGGCTCTCTACCAAGACTCACATGGATGCAACCTTCGAGACAAAGTATCCACTGTCAAAATTGAAAAACACGGATCAAAAACACGTGAAAACTTCTTCCTTATCAAGTACACATTGATATGGAAGTGTGCCTTCTGAAATACGCATGGCAGACAAATTACATACGTTTGCAAGACTCATTGATCAAGCCCTCACCTGCATAGATCTGGCGCAAACGAACACATCCACGTCCCACACAGACATCATAGGCTCTCTACATATATAGACTGAATCGCCTTATTTCCCTACCTTGTAGTTGTATTAGATACTTTCCCCTCACTAATTCTTTTCAATTGAAGTAGACAGGCAACTCACTGGATCTATCAATACTCGGTCGCTAAACGACGCTTATAAATACCCTAAAACACCAGAAGAAACGCACAATCGACTGACTACTGCCAGTGGTCGTACAACCACAGAACCTGTCACCCATCAACCGGTTAGCATAGAACAAAACAACCTCAGCGCGAATTTAGTGTGAGTTACTTTTTGTCTATCTATCAGCTTTTTACTCATCTGTACACTATGTTGCCTTGCCATTAATATTATTTCACCACTCCTTATCTTACCTTATCTGTAACTAATATAAATCTCCACTTTTCCATCTACTATGGTAAACAAATATACTTTACTATGCCCTTCCTAATGCCTATACTCTGATTCGTAACCTACACTTTACTATATAGTCAATAAAAACATTGCATCGAAGCCTTACCCACAGTCCATAATTTGTAACTGTCTGATAAGCTTGTAACATGGTACTTATAGAAAGTGTTTTCCAACAGGATGTGAAACACAGAGCATTGTGTGAGGTATGATATGTATCCAAAAAATAAGCGTAAATGAGCCTAACATCACAAAAGGAGGGAGAGTGGAGTTACTGACCAGCAAGCACTGATGGTGAGGGCGATGACTTCAATCCGCCCTTGTTTGTGAGGCAGAACATTTTGTTTGTATCAGGCTCTTTATGGATGAGAATAAGTCAATCAATCTGTGATATTGAGATTGTTCTCCCACACTCACCATTCAGACTCATGTTTCTAATTTTTGTGCTGGATTATCTATTCTACTAAGACAACCTATAACATGCTAACTCGGACTTTTACATGAAAACTGTGAGGCAGGCATCGGATGATGAAAAAAACAGACTGTATAGGATATAGTTGTTATTTTATTTGACACTCTACTTTCTATATGAACTCTCTGTTCTTCATTCCGACCTTGACTTCCCTCCTTCATTCAAACCTACTCCACCTTGATAAATATCACAACTCATTGTTCTTTATTACTGCATTTTCTCCTCTGGAGACCCTAATAACACTTCATTCTTGCAGCATGAGCTAGTATCAATTTAATCTAATAATTTATCATACCTCCGTCTGTTCCACTAATAAATATTAATCATTGGTTATTGTTGATATCTAAATGTCTTGCCGCTCCTCAGTTTCTTTTTCTTTTTTTCTCTTCAGAATCTTGCTCTGAGTGTGAAGCTATGTAACTTCTGACATCTGGAACAAGCTCGACGAACGCGCCTTCCCAAGGTCATAGTTCGAACCAGGCGCTCCACAAGCCTACTTTATAACAACTTTAAACTTAAAAAGCTGCATTACATAAATACTTAGCACGACCGAAACCCTATTACACTTTTTGTCGAGATTGAATCTGGTATGCAACGTGGACGCCATGCCCCATTGGAAACTATTCTTATGAAAACACATTATACCTGAACAAATGAACTGCTATCAACTTTTATAGATTATAATTACTAAACAACCTTGCTTGGGATGCATACTGTGAACCAGTATATGTTGTAAATCGTAGATCATGCCTGTAAAAATGGCGTGTATATGCTATTTACAGAAATATATTATTATTGTTATTATTATTATTATAGATTTGAGATTCATTCGGCCGTCAAACAACACATGAGCATCTCCATTCCATATTGTCCCTAAAAAGGACAGCAATGATTGACGTCCAACTGGTGACTATCGGCGATTCAATGCGAAAACCATGCGTTTGATGATGACTGCTTGATTGAAAGTCCGTACAGAGAATCTCATCTCCAGCATCTGAACCTCGTTTTCGAACGACCACAAAAACATGGCATTGCTATAAATATTCAGAAATGCCAAATTGGAATCGACCCCCTAGATTTCCTCGGACACTCTATTGATGCTGAAGACATTCGACCTCTGAAAAACAAAGTGGCG